TTCACGGTTTCACCATTGCCAAGAGATACTCCAAAGGACCCACTTCCTACTACCAGTATGCCCAATTGCTCAACCATGTGCAAGGATATAAAGTTGTGAGTTGCCCCCCGGATTGATCATCATTACCACCTTTTCACCCTTGATTTTTCCGGTCAATTTCATGGTCTTAGGATTAGTTATCCCGGCTAATGAAATCATTGAGACCGCTGCTGGAATTTCCTCCGTCTCCTTGGTTGGGGAAGCTTCTAAGGACGCGAACTCATGGTCATGCTCTTCCTCCTCACTCCCCTCCTCATCTACCAACAACACACTAAATTCTTTGGCTCGACACATGTGATTGAAATCCCACTTTCCATCACATTTGAAATATAAGTGTTTCAAGGATAAAATAATTTTATCCAATTTCCCACACAAAATGCAAGAGAAAACTCAAAATAGGAGAAACTTACCATCCACGATATTATGAGCAAGAAATGATTTTTCTTGCATCTGCAAGTGATTATGCTTGCATAAGAAATCACTTGGTAATAGAATATGTATGCTTCTACTTTCAGCATACCTCACTATTTCTAGAGCCTCTTTGACTCCTTCATGTTCAACCAAATATAAGGGAACAGGCTTTCCCATGACATGCATAATTTGTAGCGCCATCATCCCCACAAAAACTAAACCATCACATTTAGATGCTAAAACACGCAAGGCTTTTACTTTGTCCTTAATATTTACTCCTCCTACCTATACCAAATGATGAAACATTAATCAATGTTAGTAATATGACTTGCCGTGAAATAAGCAGCATAACTGAATAAAACAAAATAGATATTAAAAAGTAAATAGTAGGGAATACCACTGCAACACTGGGACTCAGTTCACATTCTGGAATTGTCTTCAATTTGGCCAAACACTCTTCAAAATAAAACCCAGCTAGGCAAGCATAACAAAACTGGGTAACTCCAACAGTTGATGCAAGAATTTTGTGAGCTGTTGAAAACGAATCGTTGACAAAAATATCTATCCCGGAAGCTAATCTCCTAGCAAATTCTGAGTTGTTGGCAAGTTCTTGTTTGTAGTTTGAAAGATTTTCAAGAAGAATGATATCTACTTCCTCAACTTTCTCCAAATTTGGCTGCTGGTGTTCATAAAAGCATTGACTAGGGAGAACCTTCAATTTGAGCACTGATGAAAGGAA